TATATATATATATATATATATGTGTGTGTGTGTGTGTGTGTGTGTGTTTATTATCATGTAGAATTTTTCGCTTTTAGTGTTTTTAACTATAACCATATAACAAAATTTATTTTCTTTGTAGCTTTATAGTTTGATTTTCCCGGGTTCAAACCATCCCCCCATCGCCCTTGATTTTTTTCGATTGATTAAAATCCTATGTATATGTCCTATGTATATGTAAAATTTAATTAAGTATTTGTTATTAATCATTTATTTTTATTAATAAATGCTAATTATTTATTCAATAATAATTTTTTATTGTTTTTTGTTCCCGACAATGGACAAAATCAAATGAAAATGCTTGGTGGCGCATTGGGGTATGATACGAGATTGGGGGACCCTCGTCCCCTCTTCCTGAAAAATTCCTGGGTGCTCCCCTTTTTGATGTGTATGTTAAATTGGAATCAATGAGATCATGGTTTAGTTAGTAAAATGTATTTTTTTGTTTTGCTTTATTGTTTATTGCCGTGGTAGGTAATTTCTCAAATTTTGAAGATAAGAATATAAAATTCGAAGATAAAATTCAGTCACGTATTTGAGTCATTATACTCTGAATGATCCATCTTGCGAAAAAACAGGGGCTGTTACGAGTTAAATGGAATTCAAACTCAAAGTCTTCACGTGATGTGGTATGGAAGTTAGAAGAATAAATTACATATTCAAGTTTTGTCTTCTTTATACTTCACCGTGGCTCAAAATGATGAAGTTCGTCATTAATAGTTCTAGTGTACTACTCTAGTACAATTTTAATTTAAACCAAACCAAACTAAAATAAGTTTTGTTTTAAGTGAAATATATTTTCAGTTAAAAATAGTTCATCTTCGTAAAACATAAATGCGCAATTATATTTCTTACTTAAGAATAAACCATGTGCATCGAAATTAAATTATTATTAAGATAATAATAATTTCAAAATAATCAACTGCTTTTTTTTTATCTGAAATTACTAATAATTATCGAGAATTTGCATACGATAAACAATTATTATAGTTTCAAAACCACAGATATTTACTGCATTCATCATTTCTGTAAATGAATTCGCAGAGAAACATCTTTCATGATTAAATTTAGAATTCGGTAAAATGTTGCTGAATAAACCAGGAATAGCTTCATTCAAATAATTCATACTTAGCGAAATTTTACTAAAACAGAACAAAAGATGGGAAGAGGAAAAAGTTTGTACTCGCAATTCAAAACAAAATAATTAAGATTTTCAACAAGTACATTTTTATTAACATTTTTAAATTCAATCAGTCTGCGTTAAATATTAGAATTAGCCGAACTCGAATATTTGTTTTCATAGAAAGATTAATTGTTTTTTTTTCTAATTTCATTTTGTTGTTAAACTTCAAGTGGGGTTCAATTTTTAATTAAAATGTATGCGACTTTTATGAAATATTTTTACGAAAATTTCTCATACAACACACGATTCACGAATAAATTCAAGTGTTTAGTAATATACCTAAAATTAACACAATTTATATATATATATATATATATTCAAAATTTATAAATAACACTGTAAACGCGGGGAAATTTTTTATTACGTATACATTTAAAATGTCATAATTTTTCAACAAAAAGTTTTTGACCAATTATTATCGAAAACTTTGAAAAGCAAATGAAAAATTGTTTAACTCATCCTTATATTAGGTACATTATTTTATTCAGAAACTTAAACTAAATTATTAAAGAAGATAACTAGGAACAAACTGAGAGTTTTGAATAATGTTGATCTAAAACTGCTTGCATTAACTGTCAACACTTCGCGAATGGGAATCAGCTATTATAATTCTAAAAATATGCCGAATTCCACAATGGAAGCAAATTCATCCTAATATTAACAACCAGTAACATTAACAGAAAATGAATATATGCTGTATGTTATTTTGTGAAAGAAAACGAGAGAGATGTTTCAAACATTTTAATTGATTAAAACATGAAGTCATGCTATATGTTGTTATTGTGTGTTCATATTGGAATGCATACGAAAGACAGATAACAGAAGCATACAACACAAACACAGAAGAATGTAGACTTTTATTACAAACTATGATTCCAGCATAGAACAGAAGGGGTGCGCTGCTTTCCATTCGCGAGTCGGGAATCCATTTCAGGCGGAAGTCCGACTACTTTTCTTGAAGATACATTAATGCCTTATTCGGGATTTGAGCCCGAGGCACTCGATTACAAGCCGATTGTTATAGCCACCATACTAGATAGGGCGGCAACCATGCTATATAAAATACAAATATATTTGTGTGTGATAAAAATGAAGTATATTTTTTATTTACCATTGTAACTCAGTATTTTTGGATACATATATTTCTTGTTAATATCTATAAGTAAAATTTAACTTAAGGTATCCGACTATGTTCGGAACCCTTGATTTTGAAAAAGCGTATAAATGGATAATAGTTATGATATTTAGGGTCACTTAGATTAGAAAATGTATATAAAATTGTTTTAAGAATAGTATTATAATAAAAATTATTTAAGTACAATATTTTGACAAAAAATGAACATAGAATGACCGATTTTCAAAATATTCTCCTTTTGTGAAAAATGCTTCTATTATAATAA